TTGGGCCTGCCCTCTGCCACCCGGGAGCAGGCCTAAGCCAGCAGGGCGTTACCTCCCGAGGGGTCCCAGACTGTGAGAGGGCACAGGCCAGGCAGAGGGACCCCCCCTCTCCCCTCCAAGTGCACAAATTTTTGTGCACCGGGCCTCTAGTCATAATAATAAAACCCTAATCCTTCCATAGCATTCCTTTATTCCACAAATATTTGTTGTATATTTACTATGAGTCAGGCACTGTTCTAGCTGCTGAAGATGTTGTAAATAATGCAAATTTCTGTAAAGCTTATAGTCTAGTCAGAAAAATATTTAAAAATATAAACATAGAAGTAATATTCTTTCAAATCTTAAGTACTATGAAGAACCACCAAGCAGGATAAAGAAAAGAGGACCGATTATGTCTTTACTTCAACACCTACAACTTGAGGGCAGAGACTACGCCTTAAGCTTTGTATGCTCCAGCAACTTACGCAATGCATGGGACACAGAAAGCACAACAAGAACAGAATTCAAGTGAATGTAGGGAAAAAAACAAGATTACCTTTTCCAATATGTCTCCTAGTGTTTTCAATTGTCGAATTACGATTAACGTTTGACAACAACCCCAAACAGAATCTACTTTTGTTATTTGAAGGGTCTGTGAATCCATCTACTAACACACTAGTAGAAGACGCATGAAAAGCTTCCCCAACACGATTGTTTAATTCATAGTAAACAATTGAACACCAATGTTTGGGCTCTTCATAGGCAACAGGCTGAACATCTGTGAACGAACCAAACAGAAAAAATATTTAATGAATCCCAAACTCAAGATTCTTTAGATGCTTCCCTCTAACCCAAACCAAGAACTACATGAAAAAGAAAATTTTCAGATATTTCACTTAGTCTCACTGTCCTTCCTAGCTTTTAGTCTGTATCCAAAAAACAAACTCCAAAATGCCTTGAACATGACAATTTTAAAAATTATACAAATACAAGGATAGCCAATATCACATTTTAAGTTGTTTTCCTAGAAGCATCTAATCCAGGTTTAAATTTGCAATGACAAACCTGTTTCAGCATCCTAAAAGATTTAACTATACCAGAATCTATAAAATTATATTAAACAAAAACCTGAACTAAAAAAACTAAGTGAGACACTCAGTAAACCAGAAGAGAGAGTAAGTTCCTCAACTTAATAAAAAACATTTACAAAAAAACCTACAGCTAACATCATCTATACTTAATGGTGAAAAACTAGAAGCTTTTGCTAAGATTAGCAGTAATAAGGTAAGGATGTTCTCAACAACTCCTTTTCAACATAGTATTGGAAGTTCTGGCTAATGTACCAAGACAAGAAAAGGAAAGAAAAGGTATACAGATTGGAAAGAAAAAATAAAACTGGGTTTTGTTTTTTTTTGTTTTTTTTTTTGCACAAATGAAATGACTACCTACATGATAGGCTAGGTGTATTAAATGCTTTCTTAAAATATTTTCAATTTTCAATGGGCTTATTATAAATTAAGGAGTATCCATCTGTACTGACCAAATTCTCACTCGTGTAAAAGTCAATAATTCATAATGGACACAGTGGGTGGGAGGGGCATGGAAGTTCTTCCTACAGTGCTAGTAGGGTCTCTGTCTTGGAGCTGTAATCAGGCAGGAGTCATGGACCCTCAATTTTCTTTTAAAACAGCAGGGATAGCCCTAGCCGGTTTGGCTCAGTGAATAGAGCATTGGCCTGTGGACTGAAGAGTCCCAGGTGTGATTCCAGATCAGGGAACATAACCAGACTGTGGGCTTGATCTCCAGTAGGGGGCGTGCAGGAGGCAGCTGATGAATGATTCTCTCTCATGGATGTTTCAATCTCTCCCTCTCCCTTCCTCTCTGAAATCAATTAAAAAATATATATTTTTTTTAAAAGCAGGGATAAACATATGAGGAAAAACTTAAGAATGGTCACATGGCCTATGTAGGCAGTGCAAAAGAACTGGTTAACTTTTAAAATTTAACTCTGATTATTCAATTGCAAAGAATTCAGATGAAGAGAAACAGAAAACAATGTATCAATGTGGACTCATAAAATGAAATCCTAACAGCTCAGATTTTAAAGAAGTTTATACAAAAATGGAACAAGAAGGGGCCCATAATCAAAGACACATACAAATGAGTAACAGGAAGTTATAAGAATAGTATCAGGAAAGCTAGAGCCAAGAATGAGAAGATTGT